CTCTGGGGGTGCTGAGCGTAAGGGTGCTACGCCAGGGGGTGCTGAGCCTGAGGGTGCTACTACTGGGGGTGCTGAGCCTGGGGGTGCTACGCCAGGGGGTGCTGAGCCTGGGAATGTTGACTCTGGGGGTGCTGAGCGTAAGGGTGCTACGCCTGGGGGTGCTGAGCCTGAGGGTGCTACTACTGGGGGTGCTGAGCCTGAGGGTGCTACGCCTGGAGGTGCTGAGCCTGGGGGTGCGGAGCCTGAGGGAGCTGGGCCTGCTCGTGTCGCGTCAGGCGGTACTATGCCTCGAGGTTCTCCGAGTTCTTCGTCTCGGCGGGAGCCACTCTCTCCATAGGAGCTGCGCGAGTGTTTTGCCCGGCGCTGGAGGCGTGCTGCTGGAGCTGGAGGTTCTTTGGCTACTGAGGGTGCTGGTGTCGCGGGTCCCAGAGGTGCTCGTACTAGGAGTACTGGAGCTGCTGGACCTGCGGTTACGACTAGAGCTGGAGCTGCTGAGGGTGTTGGCGCCGAGGCTACTGCTGTCGGTCCTGGAGGCGGTCATGCTAGGGGTGCTACTCGTGCTGCTGGAGGTCCTAGAGCTACTGGAGCTGCTGGGGGTGCTGGAGCTGGAGGTGCTGCTTGCACTGGTGTTACCACTGGGGGTACTGGTGCTGTCCGTGCTGTATCTGGAGTCGGCTGTACTTAGTTCCGCTCCTTCAGCAGGTTCTTGGTCTTCCGCCTTCTACTGGTCCTGCTCCTCGCTAAGAGTGTCCTCAGCCTGTCCTTAGCCCGCCTCCCCCCTGCCTGCTCCTTCTCCCTACACTGGTCCTACTAGAGGTTTTGCTGAGCGTCGTGAGCCTGCGTCTCGCCCTGCGTCGCCTGTTCGTCCTGCTCGCACTAGTGGTCGTGGTTCGCGTCAGCGTCCTCCTCCTGTCCTTGGCACGCACCGGATGTCTCTGCGTCCGTCCACTGCTCCTCTTTGTGCCCCTTTGCCTTCTCCTCCTGAGTCCTCTCTTCCCGCTCTTCCCGACCCGGGGTCGGACTCTCTTTGTGCTGCCAGTCCTACTGTCACGCGTCTCCTTGCTACTATCGTCACTGACCCTTCCTTTGAGTCCACTGCTGCGTCTGCCCTAGTTGCTGAGCTCGTCGACTTTGCTGCTCGCTATCGTCTAGACTACGCTGCTAGTCTTGTCGCTGAGTCTGTGTCTGTCTGTCCTCCGTCCGTCGGGGGTGAGTGTGCCCTTGGCACGGACGTCCTTGAGGACAAGGAGGAGTTCTAGTGTTTGGCTATTGCTTCACCTCATCTCGTGTCCGTACTGCTTACCCCTGAGGGAGACCGGGATGCACTTGACATCCCGACTCCGCGCTCTTACGCGTAGGCGATAGAGGGTCCCTACTCCTCTCAGTGGCAGGCAGCTATGGACACAGAGATGGCTTCCTGGAAGTCCACAGGCACCTACGTTGACGAGGTTCCCCCGCCTGGGGCGAACATCGTCAGTGGCATGTGGATTTTCAGGGTGAAGCGACCGCCGGGTTCTCCGCCGGTCTTCAAGGCGCGTTACGTGGCTCGTTGCTTCAGTCAGCGGCAGGGAGTTGACTACTTTCAGACCTTCTCTCCCACCCCGAAGATGACCATTCTTCGGGTACTGCTGCACATAGCTGCTCACCGTCACTACGAGCTGCACTCTCTTGACTTCAGCACTGCTTTCTTGCAGGGCAGCCTGCACGAGGAGATCTGGCTGCGTCGCCCACCTAGCTTCACTGGGTCTTTTCCTCCTGGCACCCAGTGGAGCCTCCGCCGGCCAGTCTACGGTCTCCGGCAGGCACCGCGTGGGTGGCACGACACACTGAGGACTACACTTGCGGCTCTTGGGTTTGCTCCCTCTACTGCCGACCCGTCGCTGTTTCTACGCACCGACACCTCTTTGCCGCCGTTCTACATCCTCGTGTACGTCGACGACTTGGTCTTTGCCACGGCAGACACTGCTGGACTTGCCCACGTGAAGTCCGAGCTGTAGAAGAGACACACGTGCAAAAACCTCGGTGAACTGCGCAGCTACCTTGGCCTTCAGATCACCCGGGACAGAGCGCGCCGCACCATTACCCTGACTCAGTCACACATGGTGCAGCAGGTCCTTCAGCGCTTCGGCTTCACGTACTCCTAGCCTCAGGCCACTCCTCTGCCTACTCGCCACTCGCTCTCAGCTCTCCCTTCGGATGAGTCCGTAGAGCCGAGTGGCCCATACCCAGAGCTTGTTGGCTGCCTCATGTACATGATGACCTACACACAACCTGACCTTGCATACCCTCTTAGCATCTTAGCATGCTATGTTGCTCCTAGGAGACACAGACCAGAGCACATGGCTGCAGCGAAGAGGGTGTTGCGCTACTTGTGCAGTACGTCGGGCATGGGGCTTGTGCTTGGAGGGCAGAGTCCAGTGGTCCTCACTGGGCACGCAGACGCCTCTTGGGCTGACGACCAGACTATGCAGCGGTCGTCACAAGGTTACACCTTAAGCCTTGGTTCCGGCTCTGTCTCGTGGCGGGCTACCCGCTCGTCTTCTGTTCTCGGCTCCAGTTGTGAGGCTGAGATCTACGCCGGGGACATGGCTGCACATGAGCTTCGCTGGCTTACCTACCTGCTGTCTGACCTCGGAGAGCTGCCTCGTTCTCCTCCAGTGCTGTACGTAGAAAACAAGGCCATGCTGGCCTTGTGTTGGGAGTACAGACTGGAGCACAGAACGAAGCACATTGCTCTTCGCTACTTCCTTGCTCGTGAGCTACAGCAGCGTGGTCAGCTGCGCCTTGCGTACGTGGCCTCTGAGGCCAACACTGCTGATATCTTCACCAAGGCGCTTGCGCCTTGTGATCATTAGCGCTTCTGTACTCAGCTGGGTCTTGCGCCTGCCTTGCCTCACTTGCTCACCTCTTGACCTTGTTTGTACTGTTACATATATATATACACCTGCTCTTGCTTGTCTAGCCTTATATATATATGTAATCCTCCATGTGAACTGGCCTTCGAGGAAATTAGAACGAGAATGAGAATGACTATGGAATGAAAGTGATACAAATATGCACCCTAGAAATGTGTACCCCATATGGGCTACCCCACTAAAGTCTAGACAACATTATAATTTGACACACCCCCATAGGCAAAGTGGGGGAGAACAAGGGGTCACAAGACCAGTCAAGCAAAGCAAAGCAAAGCTCAGGGTGGATCACAAAGTCACCACACATTCCGAGCACAAGTTCAAGGCTAGAAGGCCAGTTCACATGCAGGAGCACATATATATATATATAAAAGGCTAAGCAAGCAAGAGCAGGAGCATATATATGTGACAGTACAAGCAAGGTCAAGAAGTGAGCAAGTGAGGCAAGACAGGCACAAGACCAAGCTGAGTACAGAAGCACTGATGATCACAAGGCGCAAGTGCCTTCGTGAAAACATCAGCATTGTTGGCCTCTGAGGCCACGTACGCAAGCCGCAACTGACCACGCTGCTGTAGCTCACGAGCAAGGAAGTAGCGAAGAGCAATGTGCTTTGTTCTGTGCTCCAGTCTCTGCTCTCGACACAAAGCCAGCATGGCCTTGTTGTCTACGTACAGGACTGGAGGAGAACGAGGCGGCTCTCCAAGGTCGGTCAGCAGGTAGGTGAGCCAGCGAAGTTCCTGTGCAGCCATGGCCCCGGCGTAGATCTCGGCCTCACAACTGGAGCCGAGAACAGAAGACGAGCGAGTAGCCTGCCACGAAACAGAGCCGGAACCAAGGCTGAAGGTGTAACCCTGTGACGACCGCTGCGTAGCCTGGTCGTCAGCCCAAGAAGCGTCCGCGTGCCCAGTGAGGACCACTGGACTCTGCCCTCCAAGCACAAGCCCCATGCCCGACGTACTGCACAAGTAGCGCAACACCCTCTTCGCTGCAGCCATGTGCTCTGGTCTGTATCTCCCAGGAGCAACATAGCGTGCAAGAATGCTAAGAGGTTATGTAAGGTCAGGTCGTGTGCAGGTCATCAAGTACATGAGGCAGCCAACAAGCTCTGGGTACGGGCCACTCGACTCTACGGACTCATCCAAAGGCAGAGCTGAGAGCGAGTGGCGAGTAGGCAGAGGAGTGGCCTGAGGCGAGGAGTACGTGAAGCCGAAGCGCTGAAGGACCTGCTGCACCATGTGTGACTGAGTCAGGGTAATGGTGCGGCGTGCTCTGTCCTGGGTGATCTGCAAGCCAAGGTAGCTGCGCAGTTCACCCAGGTCTGTGCACGTGTGTCTCTTCTGCAGCTCGGACTTCACGTGGGCAAGTCCAGCACTGTCAGCAGTGGCAAAGACCAAGTCCTCGACGTACACGAGGATGTAGAACGGCGGCAAAGAGGTGTCGGTGCATAGAAACAGCGACGGGTCAGCATTAGAGGGAGCAAACCCAAGAGCCGCAAGTGTAGTCCTCAGTGTGTCGTGCCACTTGCGCGGTGCCTGGCGGAGACCGTAGACTGGCCGTCGGAGGCTCCACTAGGCGCCAAGAGGGAAAGACCCAGTGAAGCCAGGTGGGCGACGCAGCCAGATCTCCTCGTGCAGGCTGCCCTGCAAGAAAGCAGTGCTGAAGTCAAGAGAGTGCAGCTCGTAGTCATGGTGAGCGGCTATGTGCAGCAATACCCGAAGAGTGGTCATCTTTGGGGTGGGAGAGAAGGTCTGAAAGTAGTCAACTCCCTGTCGCTGACTGAAGCTACGAGCCACGTAACGCGCCTTGAAGACCGGAGGAGAACCCGGCGGTCGCTTCACCCTGAAAATCCACATGCCACTGACGATGTTCGCCCCAGGCGGGGGAACCTCGTCAACGTAGGTGCCTGTGGACTTCCAAGAAGCCATCTCTGTGTCCAAAGCTGCCTGCCACTAAGAGGAGTAGGGACCCTTTATCGCCTGCGCGTAAGAGCGCGGAGTCGGGATGTCAAGTGCATCCGGGTCTCCCTCAGGGGTAAGCAGTACGGACACGAGATGAGGTGAAGCAGCAGCCAGACACTGGAACTCCTCCTACCTGTCCTCAAGGACGTCCGTGCCAAGAGCACACTCACCCCCGACGGACGAAGGACAGACAGACGCAGACTCAGCAACGAGACTAGCAGCGTAGTCTAGACGATAGCGAGCAGCACAGTCGACGAGCTCAGCAACAAGAGCAGACGCAGCAGTGGACTCAAAAGAGGGGTCAGTGACGACAGTAGCAAGGAGACGCGTGACAGTAGGACTGGCAGCACGAAGAGAGTCTGACTCCGGGTCGGCAAGGGCATGAAGAGAGGACTCTGGAGGAGAAGGCAAAGGGGCACGTAGAGGAGCAGTGGATAGACGTAGAGACATCCAATGCGTGCCAGGGATAGGAGGAGGACGCTGACGCGAACCGCGACCACTAGCAAGAGCAGCACGAACAGGCGACGCAGGACGAGAAGCAGGCTCACGACGCTCAGCAAGACATCCAGTAGGACCAGTGTAGGGAGAAGGAGCAGGCAGTGGGGAGGCCGGCGGTAACTGTGACTGCGACTGGACAGGCGGTGGACACTCTAAGGGAGGAGGAAAACCAAGAACCTGCTGAAGGAGCGGAACAAAGTACGGCCGAGGCCGCGCGGCGACTCCTGACACAGCAGGGACAGCACCAGCACCCCCAGTGGCAGCACCAGCGCCAACAACACCTCCAGCTCCAGTACCTCCAGCACCACCAGCAGCACCCGCAGCAGGACCGCCGCTAGGACTGACAGCAGTAGCCTTAGCGCCAACACCCTCACCAGCTCCGACTCCACTCGCACTCGCAGGCCCAGCAGCTCCATCACTCCCTGGGCTAGCACCTCCGAGACCGGCGGCACCAGCACCCTTAGCAGCCGAAGAAGCACCAGCTCCAGCAGTACGCCTCCAGCGCCGGGGGAACCACTCGCGCAGCTCGTGTGGAGAGAGTGGCTCCTGCCGAGACGAAGCACCCGGAGAACCACCAGGCCCAGCACCGCCAGACGCCACACGAGCAGATTGAGCGGCCGCGGGCTCCGCAAACCCAGGCTCAGCAGCTCTAGACTCAGTACCCCCAGGCTCAGCAGCTCCAGACGCAGCACCCCCAGGCTCAGCAGCTCCAGACGGAGCACCCCCAGGCGAAGGACCCCCTGGCTCAGCACCCCCAGTCTTAGCACCCCCAGGCTCAGTACCCCCAAGCTCAGCACCCACTCGCGCAACACCCCCAGAGTCAGCACCCCTAGGTGCAGCACCCGCAGCAGTACCAGAGTCACCAGCAACCTCGACCGGCTGGACTGCGTCTACCTCGGACACACCTGAAGGGGTAGGACCCTAAGGGGGGAGGGGGTCTACCTCGGGGGGACCTGGCACAAGGAAGTGCGGCGGCGGGGGGAGGGAAGGAGTGCGGTAGGGGAAGAGACGGTAGTAGGGGACCGACTCGTCAAACGTGACGTCCTGGGAGGACAGACCACGACGAGAGGAGGGGTGGTAGAACTGCCACCCTGGTGCGTCAGGGGGGAAGCCAAGGAAGACACAAGGTGCAGCACGAGGGGACAGCTTGTCCGCAGACAAGTCGCGGACAAACGCCCGAGATCCCCAGACACGGAACGCAGACGTTTTGCCTAACTTCCCCATCCACAGCAGAGCTGGGGAGGTCTCCGGCATGGAGACCCTGGGGTGAAGGTTGATCTGATGCGCCGCGTACCGAACCGCAAACGGCCACAGAAAATGGGGGGCAGCCGCATGCATCATGGACGTACGAGCGACGTCCATGATCATGCCAATGCGGCGCTCAGCAATCCTATTTTGCTGTGGAGAGTCCGGAAGCGTGAAGGTCTGGCGGATGCCTCGCGCACGGAAGTAGGCTCGAAGAAGGCCAGAGGAGAACTCTCCGCCTCGGTCAGAGTGCAGACGCAGAACAGGAAAGTCCGAGCCGAAGCTCCTCCTGAGCTGGAGACGAGCTGCGCGGATCCAGGCGATCAACACCTCAGTTACATCACCCTTGCTGCGCAAGGGGAAGACTGAGGTGGAACGCGAGTAGTCGTCAACCACCAGCAGGAAGTAGCGCTCGTGACCCTGTCCACGGACGCGGGCCGGGCCCCACACGTCCATGTGAAGCGTCTGCAGCGGGGCCTCTGTCGGGGGAAACTGAGAGGAGTGAGGGGCAGCCCGAAGCCGCCCCTCGACACAGGGAACACAGGAAGGACCAGGCCCTGAAGGAAGGGGAGGGAGGGACCGGGGGAGACCAGAGACAAGGACACGGGAAGCCATGCCTCGGAGACGAGGCAGGGAGGGGTGACCAAGACGGTGGTTCCACAGGAGAGTCTCGTGAGACAGGAGGCGACACGAGCAGGGGGCAGACTCAGGACCAGACCTGGACGCTGCAGCAAACACCTGACCCGACGCAGCTACCTGGCTAGACGCAGGGACAGGAGGAGACCCAGTGGTCAGGGTGTAGAGGCTCGACCCCGGCCGACGCGTAAACGTTGCCAGGTGCCGGCCTGTGCGAGCGTCCGAGCATTGGGTCACCCGCTGACTCGCAGGAGTAAACTGGTGAACCCCCACATCCTCGAGGTCAGCACCACTCACCAAGTTCGTAGAGAACGAGGGGAGGTAAAGACCAGACAAGGTGCCAGAGGGGGCAGCCGGACACGGGAGGACAGTGGAGAAGTGAGAGAGGACAGGACCCCCAGAGGGGTCTGCCGGGGAGACTGCAATCGGCTGACCAAGCGGAGTGAGTGTGGTGCGGTCTCGAAAGAAGGAGCGAGAAGCCCCTGAGTCAAGTGTGAAGGTGAGGGAGGCCGAAGTCGACGTGGTACCTGAGAGCGCAGACTCACCAGCACCTGAGGGCGCAGACGCACTGGCACCTAGAGCAGCAGCCTCACCAGCACCTAGAGCAGCAGTACCAATGCCTGGGTCGGGCGGGAAACACCGGTAACAGTCACCCTCATCACTAACAGTCACAGCATACATGGCAGCAAGGATAGCATCAAAGTCAAGATCATAGATAGCTACGCCTGCCCTAGAAAGCTCTCCCCAGCGGGGGATCTCACTGGCCTCCGAGAACTGCTGACGCCAAATGTCCGTCAGGTGGCCAAAGCAGCGCTGGGTGGGGTGGGCACCCCCACACTGCTCACCCGCGCGGTCGCCGGAGCGTAGGACGTAGGTGTACGGACCAAAACCCCCACCACGCTGACGCTGTGCGTACCACTCACGGAGCGGCAGAGGGGGTGGAATGTCCCCAAAAACGCTGCTGATGCTGCTGCTGCTGGCGGTCACCACCACCAGGGCTGCTCCGCTGTGAAGCGCCACCCCGACCACCTCCACCTCCTCCACCACCGCCTCCTCCACCTCCGCCACCACCGCCGCCTCCGCTAGCACCGCCGCCGCCTCCGCCGCCTCCGCCTCCACTGCTGCCACCGACACCTCCACCCCCGCCACCACTCCCACCGCCACCCCCACTCCCTCCGCCGCCTCCACCGCCACCTCCACCGCCCCCGCTAGCTCCACCCGCGCCCTTGCCCCCCTTGCCCTTGCCAGAGCAGCGTCTCCCACTAGGGGCAGACGCCGCACCGACCGACTCAAGACCAACGAGGTCGGCCGCAGCGGAAGAGGCGTTAGAGGGCAAAAGGGGGGAAGGAGAACACCTCTCAAAGATGGGGGTGCGAGGGTCACCACGAGAGGCTCCTACAGCGATTATGCTCTTCTCCGCTGCTAGGAGGGCCTTCTCTAAGAGGTCAACAGTGAGAGTGGTGGGACAGACTGAGAGGAAGTGGTCCCTGACTACACGAAGGGAGTCAGGGAGGCGGGTGACTATATAATAGAGAGTGATGTACATGGGGGGGGGGTTCTTGGCGCTGAACTCAGCAGGAAGCGCGGCGCGGTAGCGAGTGTCACTAGTGCGGAGGTGCGTAATGAGGTCAGCGACTGTGGGAAAGGCAGCAAGGTCAGGAAAGAGGTACGGTAGCATGAGGCGGCTCAGTGCAACAGTGGCAGGGGAAGAGTAGCGCGCAACTACAGCGTCGTACAAGGTCTGAGCACTCTTGTACTGACTAAAGTGCGCGCGCTCAGTGGTAGGCAGGTGGCGACGCACAGCAAGACGTGCAGCAGCATCGCGCGTGGCCCACTGGGAGCGAACAGTGGGGTCAGCATCAGCAGCAGGGGCAGGAGAGGCGCCAGAGGTGAGGTCAAAGAGAGAGAGACCGTCTGCCCTATCGCACTGTAAGAACAGCTGCAGGTCGTCTACCGAGACCTCAAAGTCAATGGCTCTACCCTCAGCGTCAAACGCGAGGACACTAGGGGTAGCCATGACAAGAGTAGACTAGCAGTACCAACTGTAGGACAGGGGTAGTGCAGTGACAGAAGCGCTGCTCTTACCAGACAGGGCGGTTCGGGCAGCTCAGTAGCACAGCAATACGGCAACTCGGCTGCTCGGACGGCTCAGCAGCAAGTGCGGCTCCGCGGCACCAGCGGCTCGGCTCCTCAGGCGGCTCGGGCGGCTCGGGCGGATCGGGCGGCTCGAGCGGCTTGGCTCCTCAGCGGCTCAGGCGGCTCGGGCGGCTCGGGCAGGTCGGGCGGCTCGGGCGGCTCAGGCGGCTCGGCTCCTTAGCGGCTGAGGCGGCTCGGGCGGCTCGGGCGGCTCGGGCGGTGTAGGGCGGTAGGGCCGCTGGTAGGGCAGCGGGGCCGCAAAGTAGGTGGCGGGGCCGCAGTGGGAGGGGCGGCGGGGCCGGAGTGAAGGGCGGCGGGGCCGCCGTGAAGGGCGGCGGGGCCGCAGCGAAGGGCGGCGGGGCCGCAGCGAAGGGCGGCGGGGCCGCTGAGATGGGCGGCGGGGCCGCAGCGAAGGGCGGCGGGGCCGATGAGAAGGGCGGCGGGGCCACAGCGAGAGAGGCGGCGGGGCCGCAGCAAAGGGCGGCGGGGCCGCTGAGACGGGCGGCGGGGCCGCAGTGAAGGGCGGCGGGGCCGCAGTGAAGGGCTGCGGGGCCGCAGCAAAGGGCGGCGGGGCCGAATCGACGGGCTGCGGGTCCGCTAGGGCTTTGGGGCCGCTAGGGTGGCTCGACGAAGTGAGAGCCCGGAGCGCGACTCGGGCTGAGCGCGCTTCGGGCAGGAAAAAACTCGATGTGGTGGGCCCTAGGCACAGTTCCCACGGGGGAACCTGCTTGATACCATGAGGAAATTAGAACGAGAATGAGAATGACTATGGAATGAAAGTGATACAAATATGCAACCCTAGAAATGTGTACCCCATATGGGCCACCCCACTAAAGCCTATACAACATTATAATTTGACAGCCTTGTGGCCTTGAACTTGTGCTCGGAATGTGTGGTGACTTTGTGATCCACCCTGAGCTTGCTTTGCTTTGCTTGACTGGTCTTGTGACCTCTTGTTCTCCCCCACTTTGCCTATGGGGGTGTGTCAGATTTATATGACATAGCTGTTGTAGGCTATAGTGGGGTAGCACATATGGGGTACGACTTTCTAGGGTTTGTACTTGTACCCAACTTTCCCTTAGTCAATTCATTCTCGTTCATTTTCTCATTGCACGCGAACAATTTCTGAAGGTAGACACTCCACACATCGTCACTCCGCGACTGGCGTTGCTCGCGCGAAACGACAACAGGCGCTACAACAACTGGTACGTGGACACCTGCTGTGGGCAGCACATGGTGGGCTCTGAGCGTTACATATCCAACGCCATCCCCACCCCCGCCGTCACCTACATAACTGTGGCGAACAACACGCGGCTGCGCGCAAGCGCGCAAGGCATCGTGGTGCTCAAGGCACGAGGGAGCCAAACGCACATCACACTCAACGACGTGTTGATTGTGCAGAACCTGCGCTTTAATTTACTCTTGGCGGCGCAACTCCTGGATTGCGGAGTCATCCTCAGCACTCACCCCGAGACGCGCGACATCCTGCTCCACTTCACGATGCCGAACAAGAAGCGCAAGCAGATCGGACGGGCGCGCGCCGAGAACGGCGTATACGTTCTCGACTTCGACATTCCCGACTGCAGCGGCGACTCGCAGGAGTTAATCGACCTCGTCCTTCTGCGATTCGAACACATCCTTCGTCGCGATTGGAAGCACCCTGATGGGCGCCCCTGGGTGCCACACCACCCACACCCGCGCGAACTGGCGCTGCAGGACCCCGACCCTGACGGCATCTGCAGAGACTGCCACACACCCACGTCTTCAACGAGCGCAATCGCTGGCCGCGGCCTCGCCGCCATCCGCGAAGCAGAACGCGACGCGCCGCCTGAAGAGGGACTCTCCCAACTGGAGCTAGAAACAGCAACACGGGTTGTCTTCGGCACTCCGGAACATCCCCTCCCCGGACCCGCGTCTCAGCATCTTCAAGGAATGGCACCTTCGATGCGCATGGCAATCCACGTCCCCACACAACGGAAAAGGCGGCAGAGATCTACTCTCACCGGCGCAATTCAAAGAAGAAGCTCTCGCTGACAGAAGAAGAGGCATTGTCGCAACAAGAAGCCGAAGAACTTCGGCGGAAGAGCCTCGCCGAGGCACGCGGAACGCTCGCCTGGGAGCAGGACGAAAAAAGCGCCTCCAATGAAGGGGGGTGGGGGAGTGCCGGCGGATGGGGAACGAGCGACACCAGCAGCTGGGGCGTCGCAACCGGCGGATGGGGCGCAACAACAGGCGCAAACATCGGCGGATGGGGCGCCGCACAAGGCGGCGAGACGAGCGGCTGGGGAGCTTTCCGCGAGGATCAAAGGGGGGAAGAGGCAGAAGAACCTAGGCATGCTGAGGTCGAACCTCCTGTTGTTCCTCTCGGACGCCCTCCGCGCCGCCCTGCGTTACGACCACCGCCGCCTGACATCCCTTCAGGTAGTGACCCCTAGGACACCATTGACTGGGGAAGTGAACCACTCACCCCGCGACGCACTGTCTACAGACCTGCCCGCGAACCGCGCGAACCGACGTTCATACTTGGCACGATCCCCGGAACCAACATCCCCTACTCCATCATCCGGGACAGAGAATTTCTCGCCCTCATGCTAACGACGGCGAACCAGGAAGAAGAAGAGAACGAGGGAAGAGCGCCTACACCTGCACCGGCACCTGATGAAGACCTCGCAGCCGCACTGGAGCGCTACATGCACACATCTGGATTCCGCGCCGACGACGCCATCTAGCATCAGCACGTAACCCTGAAGAACTGCATCGAAGCCGGCGTCTTTGCACCTGGCGCGCTGTTGCGCCCTGACGGCTCCGAAGTGAGAGGAGGGACTCACCCGCGCAGCTGCACTGTCTACCCCGAAGCTGCGTTGAGTCACCAGCCCTTCCCCCTACTCGAGCCAGGAACCAATCGCTACGCCAAGCTTGAGAAGGTTTACAGTGACTTTCTCAACGTAGGTCACTGCGGCATCAACGACGAACTCTACACACTCACCTTCGTCGACGCCGGAACGCGCCACGTGTGGGTCGTAAACGTGGAAGCGCGTAGCAGAGCCTACGAAGCATTCCGTCTGTGGCTGGCGCACGCGCAGCGGCAATCTGGGGAGAAATTGAAGATCTGGCAGTCTGATGGTGCGGCAGAGTTCAGGAGCAAGGAACTGCAGGATTACCTCGCGCAAAAGGGGATCGAGCATCACATCTCCCTCCCCTACGCGCACCAGCAGCAGGGCGTAGCGGAGCGCACCAATCGCACTCTCATGACGAAGGTACGGGCGCTAATGTGGCAGGCAAAGCTCCTGCCGATCTACTGGACCTACGCGATGCACCACGCCGTGCGGGTGCACAACCTGCTGTCAACCACCGCAATGACCGGCAACTCCTTGTCGCACGTGAAAGGGACGGGAAGAAAGGGGGACACCTCCATGCTCCGCGTCTGGGGCTGCATGGTTCAATACCGTCTGCCAACATCAACCATCGGGAAGTTCAAAAGCCGCGCGCGCTGGGGAATCCATCTCGGTATCAGCCACGAACACAAGGCGTGGATCATCCTGGATCTCCTAAGCCAGAAAATCAAGAATGCGCGCGATGTCATCTTCTACGAGCGACTGTTTCTGCAACAATTTCGTGACGACGAGCAGACGAACGCAAACCGCGTCTAGGGCCACAGCTACGCCTCACCTGAGGACGAAGCAGCAGCAGCAATTCTGGAGCAGGATCCCAGAGGCGAGTTCACGAGGGGCGATCGCCGCGACGACGACGACGACGATGATGATTCAGGTGAAGGAGGAACAGGCGCAACAGGAGGAGGCGCAGCAGGAGGAAGCAGAAGCGGCGGAGACACAGCACCGCCAGCACCGCCTGAACCAGAAAGCGATGATGACGACGTGCAGGAAGTCGTCACTCAACATCGCCACGACAGCACTGTCACTGGTCTCCAACTACTTGGACTACACGCTACAATCTCCACTGCTCCGCGCATCATCGAACCTAAGAACCCACGGCAAGCTCTCACAGACCCACACAGCAAGGAGTGGGGCGAAGCAATGGATGCGGAAATCCGGGCACTCGAGTCACGCGACACCTGGGTGCTCGTCAACCGTGCAGCAGTAAAGGGGAGAAGGATTTGTCAGAATATTATCTTATTGTTCTAGCCTGTAGTGGGGTGCTCTATAGCGAGTACAACCCTTCTAGGGTTTGCTATTTGTATCCTCATTCTTGCTAGTTCAATCCTCTTTCTTTCTTCTAATTTTGACATGCTATCAGAGCAGGTCGATCCCCTTGGATCGATCCTGTGGGTGTGTCCCCACCTTGCTTCCGCTGCTACCTTTTCATCCCGCCGTGCGCCCCGAGGCGCGCGGCGGTTTTCTGCCCGCCGTGCGCCCCGAGGCGCGCGGCGGTTCATTGCCCGCTGTGCGCCCCGGGGCGCGCGGCGGGCTTCTCCTCTACGTCGCGGCCCCGCCCCGGCCCGTCGCCGCCCGTGCGCCTGCCCGGCTCGGCCCCGCCCTTCGTCGCGGCCCCGCCCCGGCCCGTCGCCGCCCGTGCGCCTGCCCGGCTTGGCCCCGCCCTACCTGTCGCGGTCCCGCCCCTCCGTCGCGGCCCCGCCCCGACCGTCGCGGCCCCGCCCCTCGTCGCGGCCCCGCCCCTGTGCCGGCTGTGGGGCGAGCTGTGGGGTGGCGGGTATGGGGGTGGCCGGTGTGCCTTCCTCCCTTTCTCCTCCTCCTCCTTCGTCTCCCACTGCTGCAGCTGTCGCTGAGGGGGGTGGTTGTGTGGGAGACTGGGGTTTAGGGTTTTAGGGGGGTGCGTGGGAGTAGAGCTAGTGGTGTAGCAGTGGGTGTGTATCAGGGGGGTGGGACTGTGTGCGGGAGGATGAGCGGAGGTTGCCAGTTTGTC